AAAAAAAAAATTCTTGAATTCTAATAACTGGTTTCTTTTCTGTAGAACCGGGAACCAGTTGTAACTTATTAGTTAGTTTCGTATTTTATTTCTATATATCCATTTATCGCATCTCTAAAGTATTATCATATTCGAAGATAGACATTTTAATTGAGAAAATGTATTATTTACGACAATAATTTGTATTACAGCAGAATTCTTCATTAGATAACATTTGTTCGAAACTTCCGGATACTCTCACCGCCTTTTTTAAATTTGGAAAACAACGACAATAGACGTGCTAGAAGAGCAGTTCTACAGAATAGCGTTCAGTCTATGAGGTATGTATAAAATCAATAAACCTTCGATGTGTTTTGTAGAAATTGAGACAAATTACTGCATTATTTTCTCCATGACATTCGTATGATTTGCATGAGTCTATTTACATGATAAACAGATTTAACTACTACCACAGGAATCGGAAATTCTATCAATAAAATTCTGTAAATAATAAAGTCGACTATCAATAGAGCTTCTCGCTTCTCTACGAGAAGCTCTATTGATTAGTCGACTTTATTATTTACAGAATTTTATTGATAAAATTTCCGATTCCTCTCGCTTCTCTACGAGAAGCTCTATTGATTAGTCGACTTTATTATTTACAGAATTTTATTGATAGAATTTCCGATTCCTGTGCTACTACAGTATAGGCATAAATTCACATTGACCACTGCATGATGCCATCACGTGTCAATTTGTCATGCCTCGTGGGCTACTGGTATGACTTTTACACGAGGTAAATAAAAACAAGCTTCCGAAGACAGCATAATTAATCATTTAAACTACCCAGAGCGTAGTCAAATAATAATGACGTTTTGTACGGCTTTCTTATTTGACAAAACAAAATGTGGACGCCCTCCTCCAACTTCGTAGCAACAGCAAAAATCAAAAATATCCTTTCAAGACGTCATATTTTTTTTGGACTACCCATAGCCGTGCTGCCAGTGCTGGGCCTCATTTTACAAACTATCTTATGTGATTATGTCTGACTAAAACTAATTGTAACTTGCCAGTCATGAACAATTCAGTATTACCGCAAAATGTAACTGCATTTGATACGTTACACGATAGAAACATATTGATTATAGTTAAAAAGTAATCATAATCAAATGTTATAGTAAATAAAAATATTACGCAAGGGCACCTGACGAGGAAGAACGGCCTTGGTCGAACTTGACCTGAATGATATCCGAAACACCAGGTGTAACATCATCAATTAAAGAAATTCATATACGACCAGTGTTGATTACCACAGATCATTTACGTTGGGAAAATCCTTTCAAATAAATAGATGTGTAAAAGTTTATAATGTAACACCAGAACAATCTACCGAGAAAAGGTCAAATCAGATTTTAACAGTTAAAGATAATATATATTAATTTAAAGTAAATATATATAAGCGAAACATGCTATATATATAAATAAAAAAATCTTGCATTAATAGAATAAACCTGTAATTGAAGACAAACATTCAAATGCATATAAAATTGCATATAACGTATACACAGCGATACATGGAAAATCATTATAGAAACTCGATACGGACAAGAAATAAAATAATTATATTAGTAGGTTTTGCTAAGATTGGTTCATGGACACGATTATTTATAAAACAAATATTTGATTTCACGAAAAATAAATAAATAACAACAGGACTAAATTGTAATTTTGTAGGTCCAGTATTTGGTGTCACAGGGTGGTCACAGCCCTTCAAACTGTATAGGAAGGATGATGAAAAAGTGTGGCACTAATCAGTTATGGACCAAATACAGTCTGAAGGGGCAAAAGGGAAAAGAGGCATTCACAGGTCACCCTTTGTGCAGGATAATCATGAGTAAGTTGATTAAGAAAATATGTCGAATATTTAAAAGCAAGTGCCATTAATATAGATTGGAATTTTTATCTGACTTTAATCTCAAAAAGAATTCATATGATGAATATGAATATAATGTTTCTCACTTATTATTTTAGATAGAAACAGAGTGCAAAGTTACATAAAGTTATTATATATATATATATATATATATAAGTTTAAAGAAGTTAAAAATAATAATGAAATATATCTTTTTAATTCTGTAATACTTTTTCAGAAAGTTGTACAAGAGTGTTCCCAAAATCCAAGGTTTCCGATATGGAGGGAGTCTTAATTGACTTCCTAAAACAGGCCCCACACAAGCCAGGAGGACCAAAATATAAGGTATTTTTCAATTGAAGAATTAAATATCTTAATATACGTTTAAGTGGAAGGTTTTATTTATTTAAAAGTTTATTTTTGCAATTTGGATATCTATACACAAATTTCTGAGCCACTTATAGCAATATAACATTTGCCAACCATGCAAGACTTCTGTTTATTTAGAGACATTAGAATAATACATTGTTATGTTCTTGACGATGGAATTATTGTCTTTATCCTACAAGTAAAACATTGAGATTTACATTTGTAGCAATTGCTTTTGACATGTAAAATATTATTTTTGTTTTTTGCCTATCTTAATAATTACTTGGATTGCAAAAAATAGCATAACTTCCCCTTTATAGATTTAATGAAATAGCTTGATTGAAAGGGAGTACAACAACTAACTGGGGTTAAGAGTTATATGCTAAACAGTGTATTTGGGCGTACTGATCTCGTTAACAAATTGCTTTTGATCATTTCAGAAACCTGTAAGAAAAGGACAGACGATTGCGCAAGAAGAATTGGAGTCTGAACAAATAAAACTGTTTAAAAGTACATTGATTCTACTGATTTTAGTCCTGTCAATACTGGGTTTTTTTTGTTGCAAAGTGATTAAAGATGTTTATAAAACTATATTCCAATTTTTGCAACAATTGAAGCTTTGGTTATAAACTAGACCATTGACTGAAGTTATTATGATAATTTGTCAAATTCTCGGTTTAAGAGATATGTTATCTCCTAGTCAATGCAAGAACCTTATTGAATTGACTTTCAAGGTCACAGGACCAAGTTTAAACAGTTAGAGGTTGACAAGCTTTGCTTTGGCATAGTTTTTTTTATAAAGAATATCTTCCTTTAGAGCTTTGGTGTAATGGTCAGTGTCGTCACCTCAAGTGCGGAGGTTGTGGGTTGGAACTTCGGCCCGGCCAAACCAATGACAATAAAATTATTATTTGTTGCTTCTCCCCAAAATGAGTTAGAGCAAAGACTTCTTGGCCCGTAGTCAGAATAATGTGACATGTCATCCTGCAAACTTGCCTTGTGGGCTAGAACCAAAAAATCTGGCACAACATGTTGGTGTATTACAAGACAGGGTATTAATTTTTAATAATCATGTTCTCATCCAGAATATGCATCTGACTTGCCACTGGTCGTTAAACAACCAACCATCCATCCAAGCTTATGGAGATGTTGCTTTTTCTTCAATTAAACACGTGCATTACCAATTAAGAAATGAATGAAATACAAAACACTGCACAATCAATTATATATTTTTAAACCAAAGTAATGGTGGTCGCACTAATGCATCATTGTTACACAAATGTATTGAAAATGTTTGTTGGAGGTTGACAGAAACGTTTTTCATAATACCTTATTTCAACGTTTTCTGAATGTTCCAAAATAACGTTTCTTCAAAATGTTTTTGAAACATTTATAAGAGTCTACAAATTTTGGTGTTTAAAACGTTTTAATAAAACATTCTAGAAACCAAAACAAAACATTTTTAAAACGTTTTTAAAATGTTGAATTGTTTGCTGGGAGTAGCTAGAAAATAAAAGAATGTATTAATGAAAGTAAAAACTTTATAAATGGGTTGCGTCCGAAGCACTTCTCTGGGTTTATCTTCATCAGTAACGCCCACATCCAAAAAGGAGATAGGATAAAAGCAACGAAATGGTCCCTGATATTGCATAAATAGTAAGCTTGTTCAAAGATTTCAAAATTATCTTAATTTTTTTTTAACAATTTGATATAATCTCGACACCTTAGTACAGAAAGTAGCCTGTGATGTCACCTTATTCAAATGTCGAAATTCACGTATTTGGCCCAAAATGGCCATTTCACGCATAGATTTTAGTCTCTGATGCATGATTTTTTATTATTAATTGTTTTGGCTTTTAACTAGCTCTCAGTAACTGCGAGTACTCTCAAATCGTAATTTCTTGTTTATTTGACCTGTTGATACTAATTATATTGCCTTTTTTTGTTATTTAATGTTATTCAGGGTTATATCTGGTCTATATACCAGCTTTGATAAGTGTTTGGTATTACTATAAATTTTCACTTCGTACTATGAACATCAAAATTATTTATTTTGTAAAAATATTTCCTTTCTCTATTGGAACTGTACACGTATACCTAACAACAAAATTATTTTCATTTACCTGTGTTTAAAGTTATTGCAAATGGCTGATATTTTTGTTCGAGCATATTGTTTTTCTTTAATTGTTTAACATTTCATACCGATATAACATGTTACTTTTATTATTATTCTCTTAGTTTTTTTATTTTGTATTTACATTGTATCATAGGTCAAATTTATTTGTTCAGTGTATGTTCAATGGTGTTAATATGTCCTTTGATTGAGTTAAGCTATTTCAGTTGATATTTTACAGTGTGTCTCTCTATGTTGTGATGTTACACTATTGTTTCAGAAAAAGGGTGAAGGTTTGGTACCATTAAAACGTTTAAACCCGCTGCATCTGACGTTCAGTAGTTGTCGTTTGTTGATGTGGTTCAAAAGTGTTTCTCGTTTCTCGTTTTTTATATAGATTAGACCGTTGGTTTTCCCGTTTGAATGGTTTTACACTAGTAATTTTTTAGGCCCTTTATAGCTTACTGTTCAGTGTGAGCCAAGGCTCCGTGTTGAAGACCGTACTGTGACCTATAATGGTTTACTTTTATAACTTTTGACTTGGATGGAGAGTTGTCTCATTGGCACTCATACCACATCTTCTTATATCTATATATAAGCGCTTTGCCGACAATGATATTTTACACATACTATCTATCATTTTTTGTAAAATACATAAGGTCATACATATATGTTATGGGAAAATTGTTGTTCATACCTGCGAGCACATCTACTCTGATTTGAATATTTTTGGTTTCTTTTATTCCTTTGTTGAATATAGTGGTCATCATATTTAAAGTACAACCGCGCAGGTTTTTAATGATTTACTTTAACTGCATATGCTTAAGATAGACAAAGCATTTGTGCAATGTAGAAATTAAATTTAAAAATTGTTGAATAGTATCAATTGAAAAAAAGCCATAACGACACTGTCCTTCATTAACGTTTCATGGCTTTATCCAGACATTTCCAGAAAATGTTATTTTCATGTAATGTGTCTGTTTTGCGAATGTGGTCATTGGCGTTCAGTGACATCATTTGCAGTACACATTGCGGTATTTTTGTTTTGGTAATACTTTCCAGGTTTATAACAATTATTCTTGCTTGTAATCCAAGGAAATGTTCAATTCCAACAGTAGCTTCATAGTATGCCCAATCATTGTTAACAAACTCTTTTGAAATCACTAAGATTATCTTTTTGCATTTTGGAATTGCATTGCTTATGGCAAAAAGTCTATGTTGTCCAGAAATAACATCTCCTCTATCTTGCAAAAGAAGTTTATAATTCCGTCTCTCTTCAAGAAATAAGCGCAAAGGTCCATATACCCATTTATAGTCTCCATCGCAATAAGCTACATATGCATCATATTCAAGTTCTTCTTCTTTTGACTTCCGGAAAAGTGGATTGGCCATTCCGATAAATAAACAAAAGTATTGTAGGTGCAATTTGTAACGATATCCAACTAGAATAAATAAAAGAAGCACACCGAATATAGTTGCAGAAAAAATTAACCATACTGTAGTAATACATCTTATTCTCATAATTCGCAGGTGATTGTAAACTGCATTTGTTGTTGTAATATTTCCATCGTTTTTGACACACGAATAACTACCATTGCTGTCAAGTTTCACTTTAGTAGTAAACAACCATTCTACAAAATCTACCGAAGCACAACTACAGACAAGAGGGTTTCCCTCTAATAAGACTGTCATAGTTCTGTTTGATTTTTCAAAGAGCACTTCAATGGCGTCAATTTCTTTAGTTGTCAAGTAGGCTATCTTGTTGTTTCTGATGTTAAGGAAACTTAGTCGGTTTAAGTCCACCAGATGTAATGGAATACTTGTGAATAAATTTCCTTCAAGTATCAAAGATTGCAAACTATCACGTTGACTTTTAAATGTTGCAATTCTGAATCGGTCTTCAAATGCATTTTTTGAAAAGTCTATATACTGCAAACGTTTGAGTCCATGGAGGAATATACTATGGTGGTCATCTTTTAGACCAATACTTAGTAAAGAACTTTGCATTATCAACTGTTCCAAATTGACGACTGATTGCAGAAGGTTGTGATTTAAAAGTCCGCATTTAAAATGTGAAATATTAAGTATTTCCACGTTCTGAAGTCCGTTTACTGTGTAATTGCAGTCGTCAAGTGATGAGTATGTAAAATCAATAATTTTCAATCGTGTAATACCCTTGAAGGTTATGCTGTTTATCAGATTGTTTCTGCCGATAATGAATGATGCGTTTAGGAATTCGAGTGAAGAAGGGAGTCTGACAGACCAATCTGATCGGGTATCAGTTGTAAGTCTGTAATCCAGCGGTCGTCTACTAATACTCTTTTGTTCTCGAATATTTTCAAAAGATTTACTAGTTATCGAAGAAATGTCTATTCTCTTAATATTAATAAAGAAATTGATATATAAGACAATAAGATCCTGGTGATAATCAAAGTCATTGTGATTTAAGTTTAAAATTTCAAGACAATGTTTGTATTTCATTTTCTGAAAGGCGGTTGCATCTATCATCCTGATACCATTCCAACCCAAAGATAGTTTTTTTACGCATATGTTACCGATATATGCAAATAGATCAGCCGAAATAACGTATTCACCATAATTTCTAAAATCGTTTCTCAGATCCAATTCGTCCATTTGTCGATTTTCAAACACGTGCAAAGCTGGTAATGTATTCGATAGTTTAAGAAAATTTTGATTTGGAATAATAAGACTAGAAAGTAATTCTAACGGTGCAAAAGAATCGATTTCTATTATTCGTAAATGACCACCGATATTTAAATACTTTAACGGCGTCCTTTTAAATGAATTAAATGTAAAGTTATGTATAACATCACTCTGATAATCAACTTGGAAGTAATTTAGATTTGTCATGGCAGAAAATATCTCAGAAAATGTTCCATTCGACGGGCCATCTTCACAAATCAGTGTTGTAATTTTGAAAAAATCAGACCACGACTCTCTTGGATACGTTGACAGCAAATTGTGTGATACGGAAAGAACTCGTAAATCATTTAGTGGTGCAAATACATTAGTTTGAAATGTTTTCATTGGATTATTGAAGAATATCAGGTCTTTTAATTGTGTCAAATCATCGAAAGCTGATTGTTCGATTGACGTTATATTACAGTTACCTATATCCAGATAGGTGAGGTGTGTATATCTAGAAAATGTTTCCTTACCTAGAATGTTCAGGTAATTGTTAGCCAGATATAACTCGGATGTATTTTGTGGACATTCTGTCGGTATGAATGTTAAATTCCTCGAACTACAGTCACATCTAATTACCTTCATCCTTAATGAAATATAACAATGTCCAGAATAAACCAACGAAAAAGTACAATTTACAGAAAGAAAGAATAAACATTGAATTGTCAACATTTTGCTAAAATTATTTTGCAAATCTTTAAAGTTCTAATCTGATTTCTGAATATATCACCACGAAATGAATAAAACACAGTATCATTATATATCTTTTGATCGGTTTTATAACATTTCAGTCAGGTAATATGTAAACATTTAAATATAGAACTGTAAAACTAAAACCTAAAGGTATTTGTGATAAATAGCTTTTGTTACCAATGTTATAATTTTCTTATTGTTCAACAAAAGGTTTACATTTGAGACAGGAAGCTGCTCGCGATTGCGTGCAATGTAAATCCCCACTTCATAAAACAAAACATCCTTATTCTATCATCAGTTGCTCTAACTATTACATCATGAAACAGATGATAGAAAATCACCTAGTAATACAGAACTCAACATCATAGAGTCAAAATATCAAATCATTTCATTTTTAGACAAATAACCAGGGTTTTACTCACATGAGCAACACGACGGGTGCCACATGAGGACCAGGATCTGCTTACTTTTCAAGAGCACCTGGGATCAACCCCGGTTTTATGAAGATCTTGTTGCTCAGTATTTTGTATTCTACGTTGCTTTTTTTTTACTTGTGTCTTTCCTTTGCTAAGGTGTTGTCAGTTTATTTTGGACTTATGAGTTTGAATCTAATTTAAGTTTTTTTGCTTCTCTTTTACAGATAGATATATGTTACAATAATTCCGATGAAACGAATGAATAAGACTGGCAGGCGGACGGACGGATGGACAAACATCATAATCACCGACTACAGTAGTAGAGGTGAAATCAATCAGTCTTGTATGTTTTTTAATTTTAGTTCATTTATGTCTTTTGGAGTATGACGTCCATTTTCACTGAACTAGTACACGTTCTAATTTAGGGGCCAGCTGAGTCCCACCTCCGGGTGCGGGATTTTCTCACTGCATTGAAGACCCATTGTTGGCTTTCGGCTGTTATCTGCTCTTTAGCCGGGTTGTTGTCTCTTTGACATATTTCCCATTTCCATTCTGAATTTTATTTAGAGACTCAGGAGATTACAAATATATCCCGCATCTAAATAAGTATGGTCTAAAACAAAAGTTTTTCAATAGAACACAGTGGAAAGCCTCACTCATCTTCTCACTATAAAATCTTTTTGAATTCTGTCCTTGTGTTTCTTTGATGACGTTCAATATTTGGCAATAGTTATCTTGCATGTATGTTTCATTATAATACGTTACTTTGATTGGCTAACAGCAATCTAGCGTCATTCTGAAATTAACCTTTTGAGAATTGAATGCTTCTGTCTGTAAATTCATTAGGGCGTAAAAGCGTTGACCGAAGTACATTTTGTATGAAGCGCGGAAGCTATGAAATTACTAAAAGAAGCATTCAATACTTATAATTACATTTTTTTTCGCTATGATCACGAAAACACGATTCCTATCAAGTTTTTCTTTTATTTACCTGTGCACTTTATTGTGGAAACGTGTGTCATCATGCATGTTTCAACTCATGCAATTCATTTTGAAATGAAGAATGACGCGAGATCAAAAAAACGTATAATAATGAAACATACATCTAATGTAATTATTTTGAAATGAAATGTAACATCTATGATAACACGAGCTTCCACAATCAAGTGCACTGATAAACAAAAGAAAAACTTAATAGAAATCGTGTTTTTTGTGATTCTAGCAAAAAATGTAATTGTAGGTATTGAATGTTTCTTTAAGACATTTTATAGCGTTGACCGTGCGCACATTTTTAGAATGAATCGCGGCAAAATGTACTTCGGTCAACGCTTTAACACCCCAATAAATTTACAATAAGAAGCATTCAATTCTTAAATATAGGGCTGATTGTTAAGAAATTAAAAAGGAACTCGCAGATGCTTCTAAAATGTAAGCAATTCCTGGCTCCCGTTGTGCTTCTAACGTCAGGACAAATTCGGTGATTAATTTCATTCGATGATGCCACAGTCGACACTTTTGAAGGAAAGAGCATTGATGGTGTCGCGACAGTCATATCGTACAATTATAAAAATATTAAAAATGTGGGTCATTCATTGTCTGGTTAGAAGACGTTACATTACTCAAAAGTCGTAAACTAGCGTGATTTACTTCATATAGTTTAAAAGATCGAAAGTTTTACTCTAGTTGACCGTTATGAAATATCTGTGTCACAGATGACATCGGATATATTGATCTTGTCTTTATCCCAGACTTGCTTGAGAAACACGTTGGGAAACACCAGTGGTGCAAGAACCTCTTATCTTGTGCAGTAGATGTGATACCGTTCATGTAATCACCGCGACTATTTATCATATTCGTGTCGCCCAATCTTTAATTTTCTGTCTAATGTTCTGTTATTGTTGTTTGTCTTTTGTTGGTCATGGTTTTGTGTCTTGTATCGTCTTTTTTATTTCTTTTACTTTGATAGCACCAAAGAAAATCATAATTTATTGATTAAAAAAATACAAACAAACAAACAATTCCGCATAAAATGTTACTGAAGTTCCGTTTGAATGGCTTACATTATTATTTGCTTTCTTTGTTGGCGAAAGCAAAAACCAAACGATTTTATGTTTTCATTAGTTATTTTTTCTTATATAGGTGTACAAATTTTAAGATTGTTTAATCATACGAATGTAAGTTTTACCCCACTTCTTAGCACACAACGCGTTATTTAGATATTATATATTGCCCTCTATATGTCGTTTTGTTATCTGTGTCTTTGAATTGGGTTCCTTTCTTATTTACGTAAATTCCACTTCTCCTTTTATTCTTATGAATCTATAGAATGGAAATTAGAAAATACATAGTTCAATGACGAAAGTGCCCTAACATGAAATGAGCATTGATTCACGGCACCGATCAAGATATTACGAGGTAGAATTATACCTGTCGTTCACTTCTTAAGACAAAATTAAAGATACGCTACAAACATGTAAAATTACAGAACTGTCCAGAAAGTAAGACAGTCATTTCGTAACGTAAAGATAAGAGCTGTAGTATACATGTACTGTCAAATTTATTACTAATTTCACGTAGAACTACCATCATTAAATGAAGTCCAATATGGCGACAAAACTATTTCTTTTTCTGGGCTATTTTGCACTAATTGGTTGTTTTAAACCACCATCAACATCGGATATTTCTGAAACAGTTCATAAATTGTTCGAAACAATACGAGGAATGCAAGCGACAAAGACGATGCTGCCCGATCCACCAATGGAATGGGCAAAATTCAAAGGAAATTATGAAAGTGATGTCAAATTGTATTTCCATGGTAACTCGACAATGAGTGCCTTACGTTATATGTTTAAAGTGTATGATAATAACATGTTTGCCACGGCATGGATAACGTTGTGTTTAGTTGAGGCCTATCGCTATGGAAACGCACCGAAACCAACAGAAGACCAAGTAATTATGTCGGTTGATGCTATTATGGACCATAGAAATAAGAATTTGAAATATGCAAATTCAATCATGGCGTTTTGGCCTCAAATTTTGGATGAAGAATTTAAGGTATGTTGAAAGGTTTTATATACGTAATGCTCCGAATCACTCAAAGTCTTATATGACTTGTGTATAACAAATGAGGAACATTTGAAAAAAAATTGTATTTGGATTCGTATGGCCTTCCATCGATTCTAGGAAAGACAGTTGTTTTAATATGGATAACATAAAATAATTTCGTAACTCATGACAAAAAACTAAAAACAATAAAACAACAACGTCAACAAAAACAGCAGACAAAAATCACAAAAAGACAACAACAAACAAATACGCTGGTTCACTGTTTGTTGTCTTTCAAATTTGAATTTAATCGAAATGTTGTAACTTTCTAACAAAACTTTGACATAGAGGATTCGAAGCTATTCTTATCCTTTGACTGTCTACTAATAACTCTAATGTTGGTGTTATTTTTTTATTTTCTTCTACATTTATTTGCAGGTTTATCAAAGTACCCCTGTTAATCTTTTGGCAATGTTTAATTTGACCCAGACTACAAATTGGACTGTAGTTTATGAACTGTTTGATAAAATTGGACTGCATGATGTAACAGAAATTATGAAGCATCTTCTGGCAACAAGGTATGACTAAATAAACTACTGATATTTTTGATGCAATTAGACATGTTACAGCAATTTTGATTGGTAAAAGTCTGTCATTAATTCCGAGGCTGACGGTCCGAGTCAATGGCAACAACGTTGCGCAATTGCAGTCGACGTTTACGGGATATTAGTATTTGAAATGTTTATTATTGAAAATTTTAAGAGTATAGAATTAGAATAGGAAAAACAGCTATTCATTCCTTTTATCAGGGGATGGATGGGGGTAAATTAGAGAATATTGGGGAAAAGATATAAAGAATAGAGATAATTGGACCCCCAAAAAATAGAGAATAATGAGGTGCTAAAATATAATGAATAGAGAGTAAAGAGGATAAAAGTATAATAAAGAATAGAGAAAAATCGCCCTAAAAATTAAAATTAATACAGAAATGTAGGACCCCCCCCCCCCCCCCCCCCCAAATCCAGACCCTCTTATATAGCATAAATAACATATGGGTTCACTCGAATCAACAACAATAAATACTATGATAAAAAATATTCGGTGGTAAATATGCAATATTTATCTAAAGGTGTTCAGATACGCCTAAATATACCATATATATACCAAGATCTAAATCGTTCCAACTCTGATATTTAACAGACTGTCATATACAATACATGTATATGTACAGTGCCGGAAAATATAAAAATAAATGACATTGATAAGGTACATGTATAGATTAAAACAATGAAATTAAATGTAACATGCCGAAATTTATATATAATTTATGCATAAATTTTCTTACTCCTTCATGACCATGGTTTGTTATCCATTTCACTTCATGTGGCAAAATAATGATAGTTATAATATCAAAAATGTATAAATTATTGTTTGTATGTTTGGATTAATGTTGTAATTTGTTTTTTAGTTGTTGATGTTTTGTTGGCCTTACGGCCATTGCTGTTTAAGATTTGTGGTATCTATGCTGCTGTTTTGATTTTCTAGTACTGATATAGTTATGTTGAACGTTTGTGACTAAGCATTATTTTTGTTTTTAATTTGTTTTCTACAGAGAAGGGTATCAACACGTGTTTAAAATCCCACCCGACTTCGACGACACTTCAGTAAATTTAGGTCTAGGATCACTCCTGAGAGATAATGTTATACATTTCCCGTACGCAAGCGCAGCATGGGAAGGACAAAACAGTAACTTGTCTTCTGTATTTAATGCCATGAAGCACTACGCTTACCGACCGTTGTCAGGAGACAGACGTGTCAACACCATAGATACCAGAACATATTTTTACATGCGGAAATTTTTAGAAAAGGCTGCTTCAGAAAAGAAAGATGTTTCCTTAGTAACGACTTGGGTAAGTCAAGATTAAAAAAATTATTAATGATTATTGTTTAGAACAAACGTATTCGTTTAAAATTAAAAGTAGTTCGGTAATACAAATTGAGAAGCTACCAAAGAGATAAATAAAAATGAAAAGTCCAATAAAGCAGACAGCGCCATGATCAGGAAAAGCTCAAAAGACAAACAACATTACACAGAAACAATGCAATGAGCAAAACGAACCTAACAAAAACCGGGGGTGATCTGAGGTCCAATTATTAGAAAGCTAAATGAAAGTCTGAGCTGTTGCTGCGTATTGAAGGCTTGACCTGGAGATGAAAAAGCACTGTTAAAACATTGTCATATGCGGGGCAGAATCTGTAGAACATTTACTAACACTCCATGTTTTCATCGGTTTTGTCTTGCTTATTGTTTATTTTTCTATGTCGTGTTTTTTTGTTTGTTGTTTTTTTTTTTTTTTTTTGTCGATTTTCCTTTTGTTACCCTGCGGGACTCATCAGTCGAATAAACATTTAAATACATGTAACAACGCTTAATTTGTATGCCCCACCTACGATAGTAGAGGGGTATTATGTTTTCTGGTCTGTGCGTCCGTCCGTCTGTCCCGCTTCAGGTTAAAGTTTTTGGTCAAGGTAGTTTTTGATGAAGTTGAAGTCCAATCAACTTGAAACTTAGTACACATGTTCCCTATGATATGATCTTTCTAATTGAAATGCCAAATTAGAGATTTTTGACCCCAATTTCACGGGTCGCTGAACATAGAAAATGATAGTGCGAGTGGGGCATCCGTGTACTCTGGACACATTCTTGTTTTGTTTTGTTTTGTTTGTTCTTTTTTTTTTTTTTTTTTTTGAGTTTGGAGCGTCATTTTAGTATCTTTCGCCTCTTTTTTGTGCATTTGCTACCGTTTACCGGGTGCATGGGTTTTGAACAGAAAACAAGTATGGCAATGAAATTGTAATATCATTCGTTTTGATTATACCTTCATTGTGCAAGCTTTTGTATAAAATTCCAGAAATGGTACGTTTTATAAGACCTATCGTTGACACAAAATAAGAAAAAAGCTTATATGTTACTAGTTACTATATCATATGCGTTCAATATTCTATTCAATTACACATTGCAATGCACCAGACAAAAAAAAACAGAAAAAAATGAGAAAAAAATGACATTATTCTAATTTTATAGCTATTTCACTTCCCTCGTGTAAAATCAATTCTTATCACCTTCTTTGGTCTTTCAAGAATATAGTTTATTCAATTGACATTTTGTAGGTACAAGATCTTGTTGATGTTAAAACGCAATATTTTCAAGGAATCGATACTCCTGGGAATGTAAACAACGTTGATATAACTGTTTGTGCGAATGCTCTTTTCGGAATCACCAATGCAATATTATCTGGTCTGGTGACGTCAGAGGTACTTTATGATCCAGTATTGCAGGTAAAAATATGATTTCATTTAAGATTTAATACCTCGAACACCAGTTGATTTTGAAGAACTTAAAATTTCCTATTAAAACAAACCAAAGATACCAGGCTTACAATTTGATATGCAGGAAGAGTGTTTCCTCTACATAAAGACTCATCAATGTCGCTCGAATCAAAACAGATAGAAGGCCAAAATTGAAATTTCTTTTCCCATGAGCAACAGTACCAATTCCACGGCTCCATCACTGTTTTCCGTGGATCATCTGCGTTTTTTAGAAGTGATCGCGTATCACAAATTTCAGTTTTCTCTGTAAGGTGTTGTGGACTTGTTTTATCTGTTTGTCTTTTTGTCTAGGTTATTGTGTTTTCTGACGTTCTTCCGATTTATGACTAATGATTGTTCCCGTCGTAATTTCTTTATTTGACCTTTTATAAGTGTTGGGGTTACATCGAATTCAAATGTAAGTACGAAGGCCCACGGAGCTTTCATTAAATATTTCAAACAAATGGAAAGCGCATTGTTACTTCCTTTCAAATGAGTAAAATAAAGATTGTAGTATATCCAGTCCAACATTTAGCCTGTATCCAATAATGGAGCTAAGGATTTCAAATAATGCAGAAAATCAAGGATTGAGTTGTCTACCTTTTACCAGAATAATTTTTTTCATACAGTATGTAATGAAACCCTAGTAGTCACTAGTAATTGATGGTAATGTTAAGTTCATTATAATAATATGGTTTTGAATAATATTAAAATATAAAAAATCAAAATAACTACTCCACCATCTCGCCCGAAAATGCCAGGCGTAAAATAGAACAAATTAAACAAATACAAACAAGATAAGTAGAAAAAATATAAATAAAACCTGAACAAGAGATTCAATATGAATAGAAGGAGATGGCAGGTATACATACGTGAAAGAGACAGTAACCCAACATAAAAGAGAAACACCCAAAACACATCTAAAGAAAACCAGATAAAAAAGTCCATACAATTTGATTTTTTTGTATTTTTTAAGATCGGCCACAAACCATCAAACGTGTATTCAACATAAATGACTGAGAGAATTGTTTGACATATTCTTTTTTATTGTAGCAACTCTATTTGAATACGTCAACCATGATCGAGTTCCAGATTCAAACCAACTTTTCAGGTAGACCAGATCTCGCGCTGACATATTATCCGTCTGTGTTCGAGTTTTACTGGTTCGTGGCACGAACGTACACCCAATTAGAACGAAAGGCAAGGGTAGGAGAACTACCCCATGAGGTAGGGTTGTTTACCAAAAGGTTAATTTTACGAGTGTGTGAATTATTTTTTGGTTTTTGTGTAATCGGGTCCGTTGTAATGGTACTTTCGTTTAGTCAGTAAGATGAGTTCTGTCACAGTTGTCATGAGTTCGAACCCTGTTGAAATAAATATAACCATGGTGTAATTAAGATGAACAATGTGTATACATGTACACGCTAAAAAATGAATTAATCATACCACCTAAAAATATATTCATTGAATTAGCGTCAGCAAACATTTTTTTTGTCGGAGTAAACATTTAAAGAATAACTATGTTCTGTCTATATTGACCATGAAAGAAATGTTATTCGAGTGAAAGAAATGTTAGTCGAGTGAAATAATTTGATAGAAGTACATGTTGTTTATCACAGAAAAATATGCAAAAAAAATAAGTGTCATCCAACAAATGGGCTATTAATGACACATACTAGTAGATTTCGCCTCTCGGTATAATTCTACAATTTTGTGTTGTAAGAATTTATATATTTCCAGGAATGGATCCATGATTTGAAGTTAGGGGAGGAGGGTTGGGGACTATTGAGAATAGGAATTTGAGAAATTTTTTGACACAAAATTTCCTGTAGTTTTACCTTAATTACACAATTTTCTTTATTTCTCGGGGCCTCGGTGGCCGAGTGGTCTAAGTAGTCGAACTACTGTATCACTAGCCATGCAGTCAACACTGAGATTGTGAGTTCGAATCCCGCACGCGGTAGGTGCACTCGACTCCAATCTTAATTGACTACCAAAGGTCGGTGGTTCTGTCCGGGCACTCCGGATTCCTCCACCAATAAAAACTGACCGCAACGAAATATCACAATAGTGTTGAAAGTGGCGTTAAACACCAATAAATCAATCAATCAATCAATCTTTATTTCTCGCCTCTGTTTGAATCCTTGCCTAATTTCTGTATCTAATTGCATGGGTTATCTTTCGCGAAGTTTATAAAAGAGGCGGGTGATATACCAAGGGGTATACCAAAGATCCCAAAGAAAAACTGAAAACGCCATGATAGAAAACGAAAAACGACGAACAAGTCCACAAAACAGTACACAGAAAACTAAAATTTAGCAACACGACCCCTACAAATACTTCGCGGGGGAGGACTCAGGTGCTCCGGAAGGGTTATCAGTTCCTGCTCCAAATGTGAAGACCGTCCTGTTACACAGGCCTGATTTTCTTGTCAGTGATTCTAATCTTCTGTAAATATAACTTTAGGAAGATAGATACCTTTTTTTTTAAAGGAACAGCGCTTTTATTGCTGTTCTTCATCTCAGTCTTGACTCTTTATAATCAAATATAATAGGAAGCAATACGTTATAAAAGTTAAAGATTTGGAGAAAGGCTACAAGGATTATCTCTCCTTGTTCATGGTACAGATTTGATTTCACATTTGAAACTTTTCTTTGGGTAACCAGTACAGATTTTTAACCTTCTGAATATTATTAACTTTAACCATATCGGTGTCATCTAATTTTTATACGCCCGTTTACGGGACGTATTATGGTATACCGTTGTCCGTCCGTTGTCAACATGTCGTACAATAACTTAAAAACGCTTTAACCAATTTGCATGAAACTTTGGTGAATTGTTTATATCTATTGACGTGAGCTCCCTTTCGATTTTTATAAATTTTAGATTTTACGTTTCCGAGTTATGGGGTGTTATTAATTACAAAAGGGGATTTTCCAGTTTTCGGACAATAACTCAAAAATGCTTTGAGCAGTTTTCGTGAAACTTTGGTGACTGGTTTATTATCTATTAAAATAACCTCCCTTTAGTTTTTTTTTATAAATTTCTGATATGACATTGAGGAGTTTTGAACATTATTCTTTGAAAAAACGACATGCGTATCATGCGATCATGGCGCAGCTGTTTATTGTTTGGTGTTGAGTATACATTTAAAGTTTATATTCATTTCCCTGAACTTTTCCATAGAAATGTAATGCTTGAAACTCTTTCAAAAAAAAAAGGACAAGTGGTTTGATGCCAATTAGAAAGTATTTTACAGAGTTAAAATGAAGTAGGTGTAGATAATACAAAGAAAGGTGAATAAGCATCAGCGACAATGTATAACTCTGTGAAAGGCAACTCTCAAAAACCGTGACTTTTTTGCATACAAATTTAATGTCTGACCATTTAATCTTTTCCGCACAATTCAACGCTTTGGACAGGACAAACGATTTGTTATCTGAACTGTAAGCTAGAAATATGTTTTTTTTATATCCAGCGGCAAATATTCGAAATAAGATAAGGAGATGTCGTATGATTGCCAATAAGACAAGTATCCACCAGAGACCAAATGACGTAGATGTTAGGTCCTCGTACGGCCTACAACAATGAGCAAAACCCATACCGCATAGCAAGCCATAAAAGGCGTGACAAAATGTAAAACAATTCAACCGAGTCACGTGCATCTTTAGGACAAAAGAAAGTTTAACAATACATCAAACTAGAACGTACTGAAAAAATTGTGGCGGTTATCAGTGATTGTGTAACCTCTAGAAAAGTAAACGGACGTGTTGTTAATTGATGCATCCTGCACAACCGCGATCGCCCCTTACGGAAAGGGGACGGTAAAATGTGGTCCAAAATCCACACCTTGTGATTGCCTCAGGGAAGGGAAATAGAGAAAATCGTGTATGAGGGTCTGAATGGGGTTAACAGAATAGAAAATAAAATTGAGAGAAATCGTCAAAATTTCAAAAAATTCAGAAAAGAAGCCCCCTCCATTCAGACCCTCATGTATCTTACATATGATTTGATAATGTTGACATTTTATAAAGGCAATGAGAACCGTAATGGAAGGTCTTGGTAGTGCACTAAAAGGCAATATGACACAGCATGTCATTTCTCAATCCAAAATGGAGGGCAACGATATGATTTATTATGATGATTTCCTTGGTGATGGTGATGTCGATAACAACAAACAACCTGTGGTGAGTCTTTCATGCAAAAATTGGTTGGTTGTGCTAATTCATCATATCAAGTTAACAAAGGCGTTTTTTATTTGCAAAAACAAATTCAAAATGAAAAACACCTTAATCTATAATGTAGTAACTTTTCATTCTTTTTGAAAAGTGTTTTGAGGCAACTTCATAAGAATTTATCGTAAAATTTTACTCACAAAAAATGACTGCTTACTGTTTGAAAAACACTTCAATCGTATTAAATATAATGCCTTTCAAAATAACGCATATCATTTTGTTGGTATCTGGTATTAACACTCGGTTTTCAGCACAAAAATGAACAATAAGCAACAATCAATCAGTCACCACAACAGACAAGTGTCTTCCACATGACAAACTCCTATTGTGATGATATGAAAAAGGCGACCCTCCCTGATGACGTCACATAGGAAGAACACATCTTTTTGCAGTTCATTCGAAAAGAAGCATTTTTGCCTGCATATCGTTTAAAAATCATTATAGAGAAACAGATTCCACCACCAAATCTCGTGCAATACGACATGTATCCACTCTTGACAGTTATATTTTGAATATTTAAAACGCTCGACAAGTCTCGCGTTTTAAATTTCAAAAATTTAACTGTCTCGAGTGGATATATATCGTATCACACTCGGTGCAGTGGTAGAACCTATAATTATCAGAGACCACCAAAAATATGCCATCACCAATAAATTCTTTACACATACTTGTAGTAAACAAGTTGATGAGAGACTGCACTCGTAGATCTACCATAAAAAGAAACTTTACTATGGTCTTTATAAAAAGTTTCATCGTTGAGTGTGTATTCTACTGACTTAAATTTGTTTTAAATCTGGCAGATGTTTGGTGAAGATCGTCTGTGGACTACATCAATGGCTATAAATGCCCTCATTACAACATGGACAGTTTACAATGACACCACACATAAACTTAACTGGTACGACGGTGAGTCTCTCTATTACAATGGCTATAAATGTCCTCATTACAACATGGACAGTTTACAATGACACCACAAATAAACTTAACTGTACGACGGTGTGTCTCTCTATTACAATGGCTATAAATGCCCTCATTACAACATGGACAGTTTACAATGACACCACAAATAAACTTAATTGGTACGACGGGGAGTCTCTCTATTACAATGGCTATAAATGCCCTCATTACAACATGGATAGTTTACAATGACACCACAAATAAACTTAACTGGTACGATGGTAAGTTTCCCTATCATCATGCAATATCATATCATTCAAAAGTTAAACCATTTAAAACTGAAGCCGAATATTTTATGGTTAAGTCCCCTTTTTAGGTTCCTTAAATACTAAAACCTTAAGCTTGTATTGTTCCTATAAAAAAAATCAGCAGCCTAGACATCACATTCAGATTTTGTGTCTTACACATTTTCATTAGACATCCAAACATGTTGCACTAAAGGAAAACTACAAAGCCGGAAAAGTAGGGGGAATTCCGACATCATGTCATTGATACTGACCACTTAGGGAGAGGACGTCACTAATGTTGTTATAACTTGTGTCTAATCCCTTTTGCTACTTTTGCAAATATGTTTAAACTGATAATTATTAAACCATTCAATTGAGAAAAATAACGGCATAATGTATAACAAAACAATTTACGAAAAACAAATATGACAGACATGAACCAATGACAACCACTCAGGCTCCTGGCTTGGGACAGGATATACAGAATGTGGCGGGTTAAACATTGTTACGGGTGACCAGACCTCCCCTAACTGGGACAGTGGTGGAACAGCACAACATATGAACAAACTATAAAAATCAGTTGAAAAGGTCTCATGAATGATATCAGGCGTGGCAGGGTATTTATACATCCCCACAACAACAAAAAGACAATAAGAACAGACCTGACGTTACTCGCAGTTACGGACAGCTATTTTAAAGCCAATAACAACTAATAAAAAAAATCATGTATCTAAGAACATTACAAATATATGTACTGCGAAGCGCAGCGGTGTTTTTGCGACTGTTTTCTTCTTTACTTTGTTCGATGTTTTTTTTTCCTGTATTTTTCAGTTTATCATTTTATATAGTAGCTGTTGTCATGTAATATTTGAACTAACACTATTAAAATGTTTTATGAATTGGAATTGGTTTATCATAACAGGAAATAGTTTAATAGTTAAAGGGGCCTCGAGTGGCTGAGTGGTGCAAGCAGTTGAACTGCTGCATCAATAGCCTGTCGACACTGAGGTTGTGAGTTCGATTCCTGCACGTGGCTCGACTCCAATTTTAATTGACTAGAATTGTCAGTTTTCCTACCGAATGTCGGTGGTTCTCTTCGGGCACTCCACTCCGGCTTCCTCCACCAATAAAAACTGACCGCCTCCAAATAACACAAATGTGATGAAAGTGGCGTTAAACACCGCAATCAATCAATCAATATTTAAACATCTCTTATTTTCTAGATACTCCGACAGAAGTCAAAACGACAGTGCAGAAAGCGACGACCTGGTTGAACACGTACATTTTGAGCGGGAAATATCAGCCTTGGAATGCTTTCTTCTCAGGATCTTTCAAAGGTTTTGGTGTAAGTTTAAACTCTAATTGCTGATTTCAGAAATCATATAATTTCCTAGTCCGAGTACCTATTTGACCAAAGTATTGCTCTGTTTTAAGTTCATGCGACTCAATCAACTGCTTTTACTTGATCTATATATTCAATATGGAGTTACGAGATTTGATCTTTTTTTATATATATATAATACAAGGGTCCTTTTGATTTCATTTACAAAAAAGTTGGGGTATAGGCACTTTAAATACTCGATGCGTTAAATTGTAGCACAAGACAATATAGCATTTTTCATGCATTTATTCAAATGGTTACTTGTTATTTTATTCGTGACTTTCTTTTGAGTTTACTCCGCATCTCGCATATTCAGATTACCAAACAAAACCTATACATTGGTCTGTAAATGCAAACCGATACATGTGGCTGCCATAGAATTGTTTTGAATAAATCTTAAAATTTGCAAATGACAATATCATATTTTTGGAGATTTTAAATTAACAATCTAACAAATGCAATTGTACAGCTTAAAACAACCAAATCACCATATGTTATAACAGAACATTTTGGGTACTCTTTATGGAGTGATTGTGTCAGATCTTTGATTGTTGGTTTTTTTTTTTTTATTGTCACAACATTTTAAACCCAGGAGCTTGGCACATTGTACACCGGTTTATTGTTGAATAATATATCAAAATTAACGGTACCAAATTTTCTACACAAGATGCGCATTTCTACAATAAATTACCTTCAGTGATGATCGAGGCCAAAATATTTGAAAATCAAAAAATTATTAAAACTATGAAGAGATAATAAACTTAGTTGGTCAAAAAGTAGTCGGAGCTTTGCATGAGAGAGATATATTCCTTAATTTAAATATGTTGCCCTCTAGATGTCTTTTTTTTCTTTGGTTGCTTTCTTTTGTTCCTTGACCTGTCAGAGTGTCCAGAGAGAACCGTCAACTTTCAACAAGAAAACTTCCATTTAATTATGATTTAACGGGGACAGAAAAAACGTCTGTGTTGTCAAAAGATATCCCTTGGTCAAATATAAAATTATTTCACAGACATCGCAAACTGAATATCCAGCCAATCGTGACGAGTATTTCAATGGTACGAAGATACCAGGGGACGAACATCATCATGGTCCGACAATAAGAGGAATGGAAGGAGTGGCGACAGAAGAATGGTACAAACAACAGTTAATGATACCTCATTCTGATCGGCTTACTCCAATAGACTTCCATGGTTTCAACGACCAAGACACATATTTTCCGTTCTGGAACTCGGAACCATATACATATGTTACTTCTCTGTTGGCACTGTCAACGTTTCCTAACATAGAATAGATCAAAATAAAGCATATGTTGTTTTCCTTTATTAATTGATTGTTCTTTCAAGAGGGTATCGCATGGATGGTAGCTCTTTAGTCCATTATTGGATGACACAATAAATGATAATGGGTCCGAAAAATATATATAAACAGGCCATTTTAAGATTAAGAAGAATAGAAAATAATAAGGTACTAGAATATAAAGAATCCGAAAGATACAGCTAGTTCTATTGTTTGAAAATACTTTATATGTTTGTAGAACACTTATTGATGAAGATCTAATGCACTATGGGTAATGTTTACACCAAACGTTATGATTGGTTTAAAATGTCCTAAATAATTGAAATTCAACCAACGATGTTACGTTATTTTCACTTCGGGATACGACCAATGAAATTAGCCTCTTAAAAGGGAAATAGCTGTTATGAAAGGCCATTACGCAAGCACCTGGTAGAAACATGTATTGAACTTTTGTATATTTTCTTTCGACAATGCGATACTTATTACAGTTGTTAACAATTTAATCGTTTTTCAGACCTTTTGGTCTCAGTTCCCAGCGAACCGAGATGAATATTTTAACGGAACTAAAGTACCCCAAGACGGCAAATACCACGGCGGAGAAACTATTCGTGGCATGGAGGGTGTGATGTCGGAGGACTGGTATCAACAACAAATCAAACTAGACCATGCTCCAGTTGATTTCCATGGTTACAACAGTCAATCCGATTTCTTTCCATTTTGGAATTCTGAACCATACACTTACGTCACCTCACTCTTAGCATTGTCAACTTTCTCAAATATAGAATAATTTTAATAGCCAGAGATGTTAAATTTAATAGTTAAATACGTTTTTTATATTATCTAATTACTACAGATTCTGTTAAGAAATAGACTTAAACATACATGTATATATATATATTGCCCAACATACTTTATCATATCTGTTCGAAACGCAATATATCTACGATAAATAAATATAACACAGTTTAATGTTGTTGTTTTTTAACATAGTACCACACTCGTAGAATACTTAAAGTAGTCCACAACAAACTTGAAACTAAATACAAATTGAAATGTCCATTTTGAATTGAACTTAATTTTTAATGAATCGAATTTATAGAGTTTAGACCCAGATTTTGTGGTTCATTTAACATGTCTTTTGAGCATTGTGCGAGCGGCATTTTGACACAATTTCTTATTGATAAGGCCTTAAAATATAACAGGAATAAAAAAAAATCGGACATCTGGACAGACCATATCAACCAAAAACACACGAATCCTACGAAAAAAGAAAATTATAATAATCAAAGGTAAACGACAACAAACAGCACGTGTTCTAGATAGCTGTAACCTGTATTTGTACAGGCACAACATTTTGTTGGGTCAACTATGAGCTGCGTCGGATAGAAATCGACCATATGCAAGTGCACGTATACATGCACATGTATAAAACTTTGATTGCGTATAGAACATTCAAATACAAAATAAAGATAAAGATTGGTCTGCTTTGTAGGGTTCTTATACCATCTCAATTTTCAAACAGTTACATACTTTCCGTAGAGATGTTTTCAACCCAAAATAGGTTAACAGATGTATTGATATTCATTTGCATAAGGTCGATTTCTATCCGACGTATCTCAAATTTCAAATGCGCACAATCTTCTCCTTTGCCTACAAAGGCCGTATAACGCAGAATAAAACACACAAAAAAAGATCACTTCTACGTCATTTGGTCTCTGGTTTAGTCTAATTGACAATCATACCACAGTTTCTTATTTTTATATAGGCAAATAAAAGACGGCGAATAATTTAGAAAGAAGGACCGAAAACTGCTCGCTTTTATAAGAATCTTATTAAGATAGCCACAGCTTTTGTTTGAATACTACTGCTCAAGAGAAGAAGAAAAAACTGAATCGAAAAACACTCGTAACAGGCATTATCTTAACTCCTATACATTTCTAGTAATGTGATTGGTTAAAAGCAACCACGTGGAGACCATGTATATTTCATATGGGGTTAGTAGGCGGGGCTTATTTCAATACACGGTTAGTAGTGGTGTTACGTCTCTTGATAAAAACAACACGGTGTTGAGGAAAATCTGAAAGGTTTCAATAGACGAAGGAATTGATGATGAACGATTGAAATAAATTTTTGAAAACACATTTTTTTGACCCCACATATATCGTATTAGGTCACTAGTACACTATGTAACTAATATTATGTAGACTTGTCATATTTGTTCTATCAAAAACAAAAAAGGCAGTATCAGACATAACAATATACTCTTTCAATATCTTGATGTCAATATTGATTTGTATTGGTCATAAAAAATCTTCTTTTTTTTTCAGATTCGTTTTTTTTTTTTACTCTTAAACTATGATGTAATTGAACAAATTCTACAAATAAAAAATACAATCAAAGATTAGGATTATGTCTGCACTTGAAAGGGAATTTCAAATATAATGGAAAAAACGTATGCTATTTTAGTACACCATTGGCCATTACAAGTAGTTGAATATCTCATGTATAATATGTCTTTCGAAAGACACAGCTGCAGCTGTTTCAATTGTTCAATAATTTAAAAAATTGTAGAACATATGCTGTGCTGTTATGCCACTGTTTCAGTTTATTTGATGGTTGAGCGATCACAAACATTTTTAACCCCGCCTCATTCTTAATGTGCCTTTCTCAAGTCTGGAGACTACCGTTCAGTGGTTGTTGTTGGTTCGTATCTGTCATGTCTGCCATATGTGTTTTTCGTAAATAGTTTTGTTAAGGAGCAGACGCTAGTTTTCCCGTTTGAATTGTTTCACATTTTTCATGTCAGGCTTTTCATAGCCGACTATATGGTAAAGATTTTTCTCATTGTTGAAGGTCGTACGGTTGCCTATAACTGCTTACAGTTACTTCATTTGAACTTTGGTGGATAACAGTCTCATTGGCAATCGTACCACGTCTTATTATTATATATTGATGAAGGTTATTCCCAAAGCATTTTTAAATTGAAGTAATTGAAATCAGTTTACAATTAGATTTAGAGATACATATGTTAGTAGCTACTGGTTTGCACTGACACTTCTGTCTGTAAAATTTAACAATTTGATTGTTTTTCAGACATCTTGGTCTTCTTATCCAGCGAACCGTGATGAATATTTTAACGGAACAAAAGTACCTCAGGATGGTAAACGGCACTACGGAGAGATCATACGTGGTATGGAGGGTGTGATGGAGGAGGACTGGTATCAACAACAAATCAAATTAGACCATGCTCCAGTCGATTTCCATGGTTACAACAAACAATCCGATTTCTTTCCATTTTGGAATTCTGAACCATACACTTACGTTACCTCACTGTTGGCGTTGTCTACTTTCACAAATATAGAATAAATTCAATAATCATAGATGTTTTTATCTAAGTTACTACAGAAGTTTCTTGATAAGCCTTTGCCACTATTATATATTGGCAAATACAAATATTCTGCATGAGATTAAAAGAATACAGTCTCAAATGTTAAATTATTAAAATATTTTACACAAAGTGCTACAATTATAGCGCACTAAAAGAGTACTTTCTAGAAATGTAAATATTCCTAACATTTTCCTTGTTACAGCGAATGTAATGCCCACCTGACAAATGAAGAACATACTAAGGTAATGCATTACGAAATTAGGTCTAATTACTCAAATTCCTGGAATTATTCGTAAATGAGAATATATAATAACAAGGTCATTATAAAAGATAACAATAATCGCCAGATATGTGACAGCACACCACTTCAACCATAAACACCAAATTCTTCGGGAAAAAAAATGAACAAGATCTTGATACGCGGTATATTTTTTGCTCATTGTTGAAGGCCGCACGGTGACATATTTTTGCTAACTTCTATGTCACTTGGTCTCTAGTGGCAATCATATCACATTTTCTTATTTTTACAATAAACGTATGAAAAAAAGGAAAACACAGAATAGAATAAAATTGAAAAGGAAAATGGGGAATGTGTCAAAGAGACAACAACCCGACCATAGAGCAGACAACAGCCGAAGGCCACCAATGGGTCTTTAATGCAGCGAGAAACTCCCGCACCCGGAGGCGTCCTTCAGCTGGCCCCTCAACAAATATGTATACTAGTTCAGTGATAATGGACGTCATACTAAACTCCAAATTATATGTATGTTACAGGTAACTTGTCTTTTACAGGCACTAATGTGGTGGGGCGAAACCAATTTGACGTGCGCACAAACCTCCCCAATGCTTATCTAGACCAACTGTCGTAAAAGTAAAACATACAATGAAAAAATTGTAAGCTACCATGTAACATGAATAAGAAATAACGACGCACATGATTTCAAAAGCCGGGTCAAAATTTGATCGCTACTTCAGAAAGGTAGCCGAGGTCGCCATAGCTGTAGGACAACAAGACAAAATGAGGTACAACGACGGGTTCTTGGTAGTCTGATGTTAAAATTTAATTGAAATTATAAGATCATAAAAAGATAGAACCATTTAAACCTATAGTTGTTAATTTCTGTGTCATTTGGTCTCTTCTGAAGAGTTGTCTCATTGGCAATCATGCCACATCTTCTTTTTTATAGTTATATATAAAAAAATGAGACGATTGTCAATGAGATAACTATTCACCAGAGAACAAACGATGTGGACCGGAGCGATGATAGGAAACCGTATGGCATTTAACAATGAGCAAAACATATACCGTATAGTAAACTGTGAAAGGTCCAGACATAAAACAATGGGAAACAATGCAAACATGAATACCCACGGTCTGTATTTTTTTTTTCATTTTCATTTTCTTTTTTCACTATCTTAAACTGAAACAAAAACAGTTCTCAATTCACTTCTCTCTACCAGAGACCAAATGGCATAAAAGTTTACTCCTATACTCCTATAGGTCAACTATGCGGCCTTCAACAATGAGCCAAACCCATACCGTAAAGTAAGCTATAAAAGGCCCAAAAATTACAAATATAAAATAATTAAAACGAGAAAGCTCACGGTTTGATTTATGTACAAAACAATAAACGAAAAACAAATATGATATACTACTACAGCGACAACCACTGAATTACAAGCTCTTGACTTAAGACAGGGACATACAGAATGTGGCGGAATTAAACATGTTTGAATGCGCCAACCCTCCCCTAACCTGTGGCAGAGATGCAACGCACAACACAAGAACAAACAATAGGAAACAAGAAACGAAAATCAAATCAAAGAAACAGTAAGAAAAGACAACGTCTCAATTGCAGGCTCTTGATTTGGGACAGGCACATATATAGAATGTGGCGGCGTTAAACATGTTTGCTGGCGCCAAAACCTTCCCCTAACCTGGGACAGTGGTGTTACAGTACAACATAAGAACAAACTATAAAAAAAAAACAGTCGAAAACGGGCTCAACTTATCTGATCGATACAAAGCACAAATAGCTAACCGTTTCACTGTATATTGAACCGGGCCTATAGAAGTAGGGAATACATACAACAGAGAATATCGAAGAAAAATTCACCTACAAATAAACCAAATTTCTAAAATTAAAAAGGTACAAAAAAATAGAATAAAAAGAATGAGGTATCTTTACAGGTATGAAAAATTTCGACAGGAAGAGAGATGTTGTTTTAATTGTTTTAATACTGTTGAAGATGAATATCATGTTATTTTACAGTGTCCTGTTTATAATAATCATACACAAATTCTTTTTACTGAATCTCTTAAAATTAACTATCATAAAATGTTATTTTTATTTTTGAATCAAGATATTATTAGATTATGTGCCAAAACCTGAAATTTTATTCTGAAAAGACGTTGGGAGGTTTTATATTGTAAATAATATGTGGTATAAGGGTCTGGATGGGGAGTCTTTCATTTCTGTAATCTTTAATTTTTAGGCCATTTTTCTCTATTCTTTATATTTTTGCCCATTATTCTCTTTCTTTATATTTAAGCACCTCATTATTCTCTTTTCTTTATTCTTTTTGCCCACTTTTCTCTACTCTTTGTATTGTGTGCCCATTAGTCTCTATATCCTATAAACCCAATCCACACCCTCTAGTATAAAAGTATTGAAAACTGTGAAGGAAAAAAACTTTGATGAATAGACATGATTCAATATTCATGAAATAACAGGAAATATTAAATATAACTGTGGAAAACTATTGTCACTGTTTCGTATCTTTGATTAGTGTTTGTTCCTTCGCCTTAAATGTGAGTAATGAGTGAAATACGAATCCTACACCGAACAGCAAAATGAAGACTTCTCTTTAATATTACCTACACCAAGCATTACACTTTCATATTGAACATGTAGATATATATTGAAAGGAAAATTATATATACTGTAAATTGAAACTTAATGGCTATCGCATTTGCTTATTTAAGCAAATAGGATTTTCTTATACAATACTGCTACTTTTTGATGTAATGCTATGATGCCTTTTTTACAAATAGCAGACGCTGAAATTATTTTGTTTGCAGCGTATACTAGATCTTATATGCAATTCAGCTATTAATATTCCAGACCTTCTGGGAATATTGATTCCAATAACAGGTCAAATACTTACTTAAAGGATTTTATTTGAAAGCTAGATTCATCTTGGGATATGAACACAGACAAAAACGATAGCTTAATTACCGGAAAAATTGAATATTTTATGAATTACTTGTCTGTCGCAGGCAGATTTGTTGTTCTCTTGTATTAACATATATATATATAAGATGGATTAGGATTAAGGATGATCATATGACAGTAATTGTGTATAAAACATAAAACTATATAAAGTATATTTTTTAACTCTTTTTTCTCAATTATGATGTCTGGATTCTCATATCTTGGAAATGATATAAAAGTGCAATGTCCTTTTTTGTACACGCAGTGTATGAAGTCGGTCAGCTTACGTTTGTCTGTAATAAGAGAGTGTAAAACGAGAAACGGAAAAACAAGGTATTATGCAGTCAGACGTTTGTCATTAAGGTAGAGGACGAATGAGACGTAAAACATTTAATGTTTCCATATAAAATAAGTCAAGCTCTTTGCAACTGATTTTTACAGTGTGTTTTTATGTTGTGCTGTTACACTAATGTCCGAGGTAAGGAGAGGGTTTGGGCCCTCACAAATATGTTTAACCCCACCATATTCTGTATGTGTATGCCCAATCGAGTGCTAGGCAATGAGCTTTAACTTCTTCTGTTTTATAAGAAAGATTTTCCAATATAACAAAGCCTGTTAGTCTATGATATTGTCTGATGGTAAATTGTATTACTTTTAAAATTAGTAATGCGTTTTGTAATACTCAGTCCATCAATGCTTTTCAAGCATTCGAGTGACATAGAATTAAAGTAATCTGTGTTTCTTTGAAGCCTAAATTACATTGCTGAAAATGGTTGGCACAAAAGTTCTAGTGATTTATAATTCTATATGTCCTTTAACTTATGTCTCAGTTCCTTAAGCTTTGAAATTCCTATCATGAAAAACTAGCCCTACCCCCCCCCCCCTCCCCACAATTCCTGTGTCTGTCTGGATCATTGCAGTGGTTGTCTCTGATCATATTATATCATAAGTCATGTGCCCTTTAGAGAATTTGATGTTGTTTGTGTTGTCGGAAAGCTGTTTCATTGTCGTTAGCCCCCTCCCGAAAGTCTCTTCTTTGCTTCGGGTGCGGTTCCCTTAATTAACCTTTGAACCTCCCCCCCCCCCCCCCCCCCCAAAAAAAAAAAAAAAACACACACACACACAAAAAAACCAAAAAAAAAAAACAAACAACTTGAATTAACAAAACCTGAACATTATGAAAATGTTTTTTCTGAAAACAAGCTATACCTCAGTCCTGTGGAAAACTTATTACATGTACTTACCACATCCTTATTTTTACTGAGATGTTGTTTTTAGAGTCCGTAAATTTATATAAGATCTATGTAAGCTTATCGATCATTTAAATAAACTTATTCTTATAGGTTATTGGTCAAAATATTTATATGTGGTCTTTAGTTTAATGAACTGACACGGATTATGTTGTTTCTTTTGCAGAATTACCTATTGCATTTAATGTTATACTGGTTTACGTCCGTCCGTGCGTCACAAAATGGATGTTGCGTTTTTCTTGAGAACTACAAATCATAGCTCCTTGAAATTTGGTATGAATTTCCGACTGCTTATATTTTCTTACAAATAATGGTTATGTATGATATTCAACTTCACATCATACTTTCTTGAAATTTGTGATCATGTTTCATATGTTCATGCTAAATCCTTTGATACATTTTCACATTCATCATTCATTAAGGATGACAGGTACCAAATACCTTGACTAAAATTAATTTGGCTCGTTTAATTTTCTTAAAATTTCGACAAAATATTTACTTTGACCCTTTGACAAAAATATAAAAATTTCAAAAAACTTGAACCACACACTTTATTGGAAAAAATTAATTCAATATATAGCAGTTTGACGAATACTAATTTTGATCATTGAGAAGCTTAATATTTCCTTATCAATAGAACGTGATTAAAACGTTGAGCTGATTTTTACAGAGTTATCTCCCTGCAGTGTTATGTACGATGTAGAATGATTGCAAGTAAGACAACTCTCCACAAGAGACAAAATGACGTAGAAGTTAATATTTTTATGTCATATTTTTAGAAATAAATACTATGTATGAAATGTTCGTCATATTTCTTCCAGGAACTTCGAAACATTTGGTTTCAACATTCATCTTAATATGCTAAACGTGGGTCTCATTTGGGTATAAGTGTGACGCGGGATCACGCCGCGGCTTAAGCATGACACGTGAAATTATTTTGCGTGAAAACGGGAAACGAAGTCGGGCGGGACATGTGAAATTACAAGCGATATTATTGCAATAATAAGAGGGATACGGGAATCTGACAAAACAATAAGTCGGATCCGGGATCAGAACCCCCCAATGAGACCCCCTAAACAATGGGATGTGTTTTCACATCCATCGCTTATTAACTACCTGTTTTACTAATACAGTGAAACCTGTTTAAACCGAACCTCTTCGGGTTTTAGGATTTTGTTCGGTTTTGGTAGATGTTCGGTTTAATCAGGTTCACAACGCATTACGTTTGATATGAATGGAATTAAAAACATGTTTGGTTGAGACAGGTTTTCGGTATATGCAAGATTAGGTTTAGATAGGTTTAACTTATGTATATACTTATAATGGGTTATCAGTAGTAAGTAATATGTCAAAGTTGAATTTGATTGTACTTCTCCTGAATATGTATAAAATATTAGTCACTTGGTATGAAGCAAGGAACAATAATAAGTATATTTTTTTTACATAAAATACTGCATCTTTTATTAAAAAAAAAATATTTGAACAATTTGAACAAAACCCACTTAAAACTGTTGTGGAATAAGTTGTCAATCAATTCGAAATTCCATATTTCTAACCGATATATTCAAGACTTGACCACACTAATTAGTTTTTTCTTCATACATTATTGTATTTTAGATAAAGTGAAGTAAGTTCATTCTACTTTTACAGAATATTTTCCATTTGAATAAAAGATAGAGGTTTTATATTCTTATTGTATAGACTGTATTTAATAATGTCAAGATTTGCTTGTTCTGCTTGCTTATTATTTATTTATCATCTTTATTGCTACAAACGAAGTCATTTGAAGGGTGTTACAGAGAGTATTGTATTTCCAATAAAAAGTTCCGCGACATAATCTCTTTAGTAATTATTTTACCAGAGAAGTGCGATGTCTTATTTAATAGTCACGCCGCGGCTTAAGAGTGACCACTACTGTATAATTTGACCATTGGAAATAAAAAATCGCTAATACCATAAATTTACATACTGCAAAAAACATCGGCATCAGCACTTAAGAGCCTCGTTCTCATTAAATGTCCTTTAGCGGCCCACGATATTACGCTTGTGTCTAGACTGGTTCTATTAAAAGCTACGAGCTGACCAAATCAACTTCCTCACAGACGAAGCTTTTCAATGACATAAGCGATGAAATAAAACTTCTTTTACCAAACAAATTACGTGGCCAGACATTGGATTAATACATCAATCCGGCAGACTTTGGAAAAACATGATTAGTGTTCGTTTTTTTTACTTTCGATTGTCGGTAAATGATGAAAATCACAGCTTGTATTCTACAGGTAAGTTAATTTAATAATAATTTTAAATAATATTTTATCATGTAATTTGAAAACCCGCGGAACGAATTGTTTATTACTTTTATTAATTCATTTATTTATTTTTTAATTTGAAAAATTTTATAGAATTCTTTTTCATAATTTACTGTCTCGGTTTGCCATCAGCGCCGTCTCCAAAGTTTTTGGCAAAAAATTAATTCGGTTTAAAAGTAAATTATGACAAGGAGATTATGTCAAAAGTCATAAACTTTTTTCCGTTCATTAAACACATGCAAAATGTCTTGTTTCCAAATATTGGGGTTATTACTATCATAATTCGTGTGTCCATATTAGTATTTAAGTTTATTTCATTATTGTATTTCAAAAATTATTATAAAAAAATGAAAATAACACGTCATAATTTCATGCGTCTAAAGCGCTTTTCTGGATTAACCTTCATCATGATTAGGAACACTCATAGCCGAAAATTTGAAAGCCAAGGATGTATAAGAACCGAAACAGTTGAAGAGCTGTATGACCAAAAAGGACTTTAATTAATTGTTATAGCTATTTCGGTAAAGTTAATACTACTAGGGGGTCTCATTGGAGGGTGGGGTCTGATCCCGGATCCCGCTTATTGTTTTGTCAGAATCCCGTATGCCGCTTATCATTGCAATAATAACGCTTGTAATTTCACGTGTCCCGTCCGACTTCGTTCACGTTTTCACGCAAAATAATTTGACTTTCACGTGTCACGCTTACAAAAAAATCGGCCAATCCCGCGTAACGCTTAGACCCCAATGAGACTACTAGCATTGTGTAAATTCTTTGACTTTGGTGCCTTCAAATCTTTGCGGAAAAAGATTTATAATGAACACATCTGCATATATCTTTATTAACACACGAGGTTAACCGAGAGCGATTGAATTAAGTAGTTTTGTTTTGAGTGAACAAAAGTATCATTTGGATTTTTTCTTTGTGGTTTAAACGTATAAGTTTGATAAAAAAAAGACTTTCAATATCCATATATTTATTTGCCCTCCCCTTTTTTTCAAAAATCCTTTTTTTTCTTTCAATTTCAAGTATTTTCCTGTTTTTCTGAGTTATACTTGCATAATTATAATAAACAACATTTGGATTTACTATCAGTTGGTAATTTACTATCCAAAGCGGTCACTAATAATCTATATATGTATCACGAAAATAATTGAAATAAAAAGAAAAGATTTCGGGGGGGGGAGGGCAAAACCCCAAGTACCTATGTAAATACCCAATCTTTACTTAAGTTTAGTGGACTTTTTTTCAGTGCGGAACACAATATAGTTACCATACCTAGATGTTCTGTTTTCCTGAAAGTGTGCGGCGAAACCCTGAGACAGAACTTTAGGGAAAAAAACAAATCACAAACACACAGAACTAGGAGATTAATACCTAAAACCACCATTTCTCAATCTTTACTCGATGTGTCGGGACAATGTGAATGCCCCTCCGCATGCGGAATTTTATCGGGAATCCGAAATCTTGTGGAAATTAGTACATCCGAAAACAAACTCCCCGGTCAAGAAGATGAAGAGAAGAATATTTTATTCCAATTAAGGTACCCGAAACGCATAAACATTTGAAAATGACAAAAACATTATAAATCGAGATTAAAACAAATGAATTTTAATAAAATCAAGTGATATATATCTTTCTTTAGTGAATGTATAAGCAGCTTAAGCTTTTATAATAAACATTTCAAGTGTGGCTGATTATATATATATGGGAAAAAAATAATAATACATAGTTATATAAAATTATGATGATGTTGAATGTTGCTTAACGTCCAGGGGCAAATTAAATGAATATTCAGGACGAGAAAATGTCAATGTAATTTTGAATATACTAGACCGACACGTTGAGTTGGATTTTCAACGTGCTACTTCGCAAGGTCCGTAAGAGGACATGTCACCCTACCGGGACACATTATTCTGATTCAGAGCCGACCAGTCTTTGTTTTTAATCCTCAATGCTGCGTGCTAAGCAAAGAAACAGCAAATGCCATACATATTAAACACCCCCCTTAAAAAACAACACAAAAAAAAAATAATAAAAAAAAAAAAATAAATAAATAACACAAAAACACAACCAAGCATAACCTTACAATCAACAAATCAACTGGTCCAATAGTCCAAAACTACAACCCTAAAAAAGTTTTTTAATACTTTTTTATCAAAGAAAAAAAATCATAACGTTCAAATGTTTGACCTTGTATAAAATAATTATAGGATAAATATGTTCAAGTTAAGGGTTTTACATGACTACATATTCTATTATCTTTTTCTGCATAGTTTATCAGCAAGTTATAGGATTTGTGTAAAATATATTTTTCATATTAAAGCTCTCGTCTGACCCTTAAACACACTTGAAGTAAATTAGAATTCTTACATTTATCTATTACAGAGGCATGCATTCTAAGCTATTGTTTATGAGTGGCTTTTTTGTCAAATAATAATAACTTCAGGAAAGGTTTGGAAAAATAACATGATTTGAGCGTGTCTGGTACTTTCGGGAACGGACATCAGTTTTTTTTTTTTTTTTAATTTTTAGTTTAAAGCAGCCTGAATTTTAAATTTTAGTTTAAAGCAAGCCTGAAATGTTCAGTTGTTTTTCAACTTCAAAAATTTTGTACATGTGTGTTCAGGACTTGACATTAGGCTGTGTCTACCCCTACTATGACGTTGATGTATAAAAACTACTTTGAAGTACATGTCAGATTTAAGATTATAATGAAACATACTTTTATGTAAGAAGGTGCAGTACTTTGAGATTGTCTGTAACTAAGACAAATATTGTTTGTGTTTTTTTATGTACGATATTATTTATTAATATTTGTTTGTGGTTAGTATTGTTCTTTGTCTGATGTTTATTGTATGTATGTTAAGGATGTTCGCTACTCTTGTTTTTGATTTTTTTTGTCAGATATTCATAATCCTCTAGTTTTATCCATGTAGTGCCAATAAAAAATTTACCCACTAACCCCTACTTTTCTTTTTATAATTTTATAACATGTTAGTTTAAAAAACCATTTTTGAAAATCTTATAAAATCCTTGTTATTTTTTCATAGTTTTTGAAAGAAAAAGCTGCAAATGTTAAATGTATCAACAATCTAGAGAGAATCATTTCCCGCCAAATTTTCAATAATTATATCGCGAAAACAAGCACACGGACCCTTAATTTTTTTCTATTCTTTTATCTCCTTTATTTATATTCATTCGAACAGTCTTTTAAAAAGCTTGTTATTTTGAAACAGAGTAGCGAACATCCTTAAGAACCTTTTGTTAATCAATTTGTCGTCATTAAAAAAGGGGGAAGAATTGAAATATCAAAAACTAATATCATGCTGCCAAGCATATTTTTGCTTGCCTTATTGGTGGGTTTGTGTTGACAGCAGATCGCGACAACTTGGAAGTCGGTATGATTTGGAACTTGATATACTCTATAGACACCATATCTTGGCCTCTAAATTTTTATTATTTGTGTCGTTAAGTTGCTGTCTCGTTAACTAGTCCCTTTATTCATATAAAGATAACCAAATCATCTTATATCAACTCTCCAACTTAGTGTTCCAGATGTCTTTTGATTCCATGCTATCGTCTAATGCAAAGGGAAGTTGTGGGTTCGATCCACAGACACATTATTATAATAAGGACAATTGAAATCAGTATTTACTGCCTCTCCGCAAAACACTCAACATTTAAAAGTATCAGCAAAGATTATTTCCAAAACTGTAAATAAAAATAAGGAGCTGTTGTAATGATTGCCAATGACACAACTATCCGAAGATCAGAGGACGAGAATGTGAACAACTATATATATATATATATATAAGAGGGACGAAAGATACCAGAGGGACAGTCAAACTCATAGATCGAAAACAAACTGACAACGTCATGGCCAAAAATAAAAAGACAATCAGACAAATAATAGTACAGATGACACAACATAGAAAACTAAAGACTAAGCAACACGAACCCCACCAAAAACTGGGGGTGATCTCAGGTGCTCCGGAAGGGTAAGCAGATCCTGCTCCACATGTGGCACCCGTCGAGTTGCTTATGTTATTACAAATCCGGTAAATAGTCTAATTCGGTAAGTCACATTCGTGAAAAGGGAAGGGTATTGTAGTTACGACATAAGGAAATTCAATGTTGTGTACAAATTGTAATGTTGTACAAATTATAATTTGTACAGAATTTTTGTACAAGTTATCAGTGGTTTATGAACCGCTTAATACAAATGGATGATGCAAGCACACAGTCTTTTGTTTCGAATATTTCTGTCATTATTCCATGACTGCATGATACAGTCTAATACTGAGCATTGATAAAACAATATAAGAACACAAAAAGACTTTTTATGGATATGATTTTGGTATAAGGGGAAAAATAAAAATAGAATTTAAACCAATCAGGTTTCCTTATTTCCAGTTTTAGGACAAGGAGAATAGCACTAAACGTTATGTTGAAGTATATAAATTTGAATTTAAGACATTAAGCTGATACATTTCAGAAGAAAAACTTTTGTCACCTGGTGCTAAAAGGTATGTGTCAAAAAACATATAACTTGTACAAAAACCCTGTACAAACTATAATTTGTACAAACTTGCATCTTGTACACAACATATATATATATATGTGTCACACTGTCCGGTTAGGGTGACATGAAATCCCGTTAACTGTCGCCCCGTGAGCTAACTCTTTAGGTGGGTTTATTTCGCGATTGATTTGTTTTACGATTTGTCATTGTTGGGCCTGTTATAGCTTACTATAAGCAAGGGGGAGGTTATCTCATATAACCTCCTTGCTATGAGGTATGGTTTTTGCTCATTATTGAAGGCTGCACCGTGACTTAAAGTTGTTGGCATCTCGTCCTTTGGTCTCTGGCGGATATTATTGGCAATCATACCAAATCTCTTGATGCTAAACTTGTAAATAGTAGAATGTATTTATGTGACACTAGTATGGTACTGTCACGAATATTG